AAATTAACATGCGACTTGGGCTACGTGTTTTTTAATTAAATAAATGTTAATATTTGTATATTAAATGAAGCGTTCAATTGGAGGTTCAAATTATCAAACAACAAAAATATCAATATCATCAACAACAACTACATTCACAACATCAATAACAACATCAACAAAATTAAAATCAGCATTATCAACTACAACATCAACTTTACAATTTCAACATCAGTCCTCATTTTGACATAGTAAATCTAGCTATTATTATTATTTTTTGTTTCAATGACAACAACCTCCAAGTGATCACATCAATTTAATACGGTAATAACATGTAGCCTATTGAATAGAATAAACCTCATGATGGTATTTTAAACAAAGTAAAATAATCAAAAAATCAAGAAAAGTACGAAATATATAAAAACATGGAAAAAAAATGCGACGATAGTGGCAGTAGTAGTGAGTGTGATGTGGAGGATTCTAATAATTGCACCATAGAACCCCCAACCTGCAGATACAAATTCAAGAATGCGTTTTTTTTTTTAATGAGTTCAAAATAAGAAAGTAATTACTTATATTGCACTATTTCACTATTCATTCAGATGCCCCGAAGTCTAGTCTAGTCTATCAGCTCACCTCAGGAGGTGTGGGGTTACTTATCGGTTGTATTATAATAGTGTCCATATTCTGTATTTTGGTAAGTGCTACATATATATTATTCAACATCAGAAAAGAAATTTATATGAATCATTTTCTATAAACTGAAGGAAAAAAACCTACAATCTGACGGTCATGACGTCACGTCCAGCCCAATTACGTGTAGTGCTATTTAAGATCACATCGATAGCTGTTAAAATGCTATAAGGGGCCAAACACCTTGGTATTTCTTGTTTGAATAAAAGTATATTGTAAATATTTAGTTGTTCATCCATGATGATAACAATTGTATTTGGTTTTTCAGAAAAACGTCTGTCACGTTCAGTCCCACATTAACGGGTTTGGAAAGAAAAAAGTAAATGAGGCGGAAGTAAAACAAGCACAAATCACAGGAGACGCCTATCCGGAATCAATTTTCTCAGGTCCCTATAAAAAACTGACAGGCAACAGAGACCTAGAACACAACAAAGAACTGGAATTAAAAGTCATTGAAGAAGGATTGTATGAGAGAATAAAAAACTAACATCAAATCAGAGTTCTGTCCTTAGGTTGATCCCATAAAATCGCTACATTGTACTACAGCAACAACACTATGAAGCTGCCTACCCGAAAAGGCTCCCAGATTTGTTGGTGAAGAATTGTAACCACTGCAGTTGACCAATAATATCCACCAACTTTACTAAGCCCCAGCCTCTCGACGTTCTCGTGCGATGATTCTGAATTCCTATAAATCTTACTGAAATATCAATCAAATATTTTCGTTGTTTCATTCAATATATAGTTTAATCGATTTAATGTCCGACAGTTTATTTTCTCTCCGACAGTTATTCTGCCCCGGAACCCAATGAAAAGCGAGGGTTATGATACTTTTTAGATGATGATGATGATGATGATAAAACCAACATATAATAGGAGGGCTAATGGCATTCATTTTTAATTTTTGGAATAGCTGTGCTTATAAAGAATACATTGTTGTTTAATATAGAAGGAAGTTAAATCACATAATACAAGAATTCCTTCATGTCTAAACTACTGGTAGTTTATTTCTTCCTCTTCACACCCCTTTGTAGTTGCCCTTTTTATTCATTTAAAATACAGAATTATATAAACCAATACTTTCAAGTTCAGTAGACCTACCTGTTAATCAATGGTATCTCATCAATATCATTCTGAATTTTAATGTACAATCCAAGTATATGAACACGTTTGTAGGCCAACATTTGCGATGTGATTTTTTTAAACATTTTCTTTAAATTTGTTAGTTACATTAGAGCAGTATGCTACTATATAGTTAATGCTGTCAACTCGCATCCTACTCCTAATCAAACTCGTTTGATGTTTCCACCTTCAGACCGTGCCCAATTGGAATTATTTGTTTGGTTTGACGTTGTTTGTACAACAATTAAGATTAAATAATGGTTAACTGTAACAAAAAAATTACTGTTTAACATTTTATTTTCATGTTAAAAATGTTACAATCTTATTCAAGTTGTTCATTATGATTTTGTGCATTTTTTGCTGGTAATTGCTTTAAATAGTAGTTTGTATTATATTTAGTAATATTTTAATGCAAAGCAGTGAAAATTCATAATAGAAAAATAAAGTTTTCTTTTCTTATCTTAGGCCTAACTCTTATTTTGTTATTCTTCAGACTCTACGCTTCTTAAATCTCGAGGCGTGGGTTTAAGGTCAGTAACGGCATTTTTGGGGTATTCCTTGGACAAAATGTTTCATTAAGATTTTCCAAAGTTAATACAACATATATATCTACTAAAGCAGTCTGTACTAAAAAAAGAGTTACTGTACTACTACTACTGTCGAAACAATATTATTAACCACATCTTTCAGTTTTGAATTTGGTAATTTGTATTTTAATATCAATAACTGAAACAAAAATATCTCGACATGTTATACACGAAGACAATACAACATAATATACATTCTTATATTTGTATCAAAATATATAAAATTTATTTAAAATGATTGAGGATATAATCTTATACAATTAAACATTTTATGTTTTCAGTGTAATATAAAGTTAATTATATCTGTTGCTTCTTGATCCGTTACAACATCAATACTATACCATATGAACATGTTCTATAATAATTCTAACATCCTTCCTCCTTTTAAACAAACATATAATGGAAATGTTCAAACAATTAAATGACCAATCTGAATGAAGGTCAGAAATACGCGCATGTCCCAGAAGCACAGAAGTTTACATGTAAAATTAGGAAGCTTTAGATTGCACAACAACTGTAAACACGTAGAACGTAATGTCACTAAGTCATCTGCGCATGCGAGAACGTTAAGTTCTCCTCGTCGCGTGGATTCTAGGACGCAATTTACCGCACCAATGCAGAGAACGTAGAACACTCGGTAGGACGGTCATGCATGAGTGATTCCGTTCTAGTGTTGAAAAACAAACCAAAAGGCTACATATTATGTTTCATTTTGTGGGACTTTAAAAACAATAGCCAAGGGGGTGGGGCTTAAGTTTTCCACTTGCGAATTTCTTTGCGCGAATCGAAAGTGTCGGTTAATGCGCATATCAGAGTTTTCTCTTCAGCAAAATCGGTAGTTCGAACTGTTTCAACATTTTGCGAAGTGGAAAAATTGCGCAGCCAATCAAATCTCTCAGGAACCAAACCAACGCCTTTGATTCGCGCGAATGAATTCGCGGCAAACAGGCTTTAAACCTGTTTTCGAAAGCGTCGGTTGAAGCGCATGCGCATTTACATTTCTATCGGAGTTTTCGCTTCATTGAAATCGGTAGTTTGAAATGTTTCTAATTTTTGCGAATCGACTAAAGTGGGCAACCAATCAGAGCTCAGGAACCGAACTGATGCCTTCGATTCACACGAATAAATTCGCCTAGTGGAAAACAGGCTTTAGCGGAATGTTCCATTTTAGATGCAAAATTATGCTACACATTGCACTGCTGCCAGTTAAAGGATATGATGGACCATTCAGAATGTTTACTTTTGAAACAGTCATAGCAGGCTGAATATGAAATTCTGACCATTTTCACATGAGCTTGCTGGACGACAGAGAATGAGGT